CATTCTCAAAGTCTTTTTGAAAGTAGGCAAAGAATAAATAGTATTTATTACAAACAATGCTGCTCAAACTAAATTCAGCAAATTATTAGGGCATAATTTTAAGTGTGTTACTCAGCTCACAGAGGAGTACCATCTAAGGTTGGAAGGAATCAGACACTATACCTGTGTACTATACTGTAAAATGGGACTCGAATATAACATACTTTAACCTCTCATATATAAGCTTTTCTGATAAATCACATTGAAATTTAAACAATGAATTAAGAATTAAGTGGTTGAGGGGCACCTGGGTGGCTTAGTCGGTTGGGCGTCCGACTTTCGCTTAGGTCATGATCTCACGGATCGTGGGTTCGAGCCCCGCGTCGGGCTCTGTGCTGACTGCCAGCTCAGAGCCTGGAGCCTGTTTCAGAGTCTGTGTCTCCCTCTCTCTCTGACCCTCCCCTGTTCACGCTATCTATCTTTCTCTCTCCTAGAAATAAATAAAACATTTAAAAAAAAAAAAAAGAATTAAGTGGTTGAGAACTTAGTTGTGACTAGAACACCAGCTTGACAAAGGACTATACAGCCAACTAAATGTTGATACTGCCTTCTTCCTCAATGTCAAAATTTGTCTCAAAGGAAGACAAGAACATTTACCCATTTTATTCTGTTGACAGGCAGGGCAATTAAGCACTCACAAAATTAAACTCTTTATAAGGTGCTATATACATATTTATAAAAATGAAGTACTGCTTTTACCAGTAAACCATTCAATGCCTTATGTACTTGGATTGTATTTCATTTTGACACTTATAATCCAGTTAAAACTTTAGCTTCAGTGTCAAAGACTATGAGTCTGGAGTTCTCTCTTGTCCAGCAAGAGAGCAGATGCAGACTTGAATACGAGAGAGGCTAATGTCCAGCAGGAGACAAGAGACCCAAACCAGGTTTCATCTCTGTAGGTTTTCTGCCCTAAGCTTTTTTCTAAACCATTTATGGAAGCAGAACCTATTTCCCCACACTTTAGGTCTCCAGAACAAATGGTGATTATTTCCCTATATCCCATTTAAACTTACAGGGTTGAACTACTAATGATTCCTGTCTTTGGTTCCTTGTGAACCACACAAAAACTGTTCTTACCTTTACACCTTGAATGAGACCATTCATGAGGAATGTGTGTTGAGGAAATGTTTCATGTAGAACCTACAAAAAGCAAACATCAAGATAAATTCAAAAACAAATTAAAGGGAAAGATTTTTGCCTCTGTTAATGTTAGGTTATGTAAATAAGATGAATCCTGGAATGAAAGCCTTTTAAGTATCAGTGAAATATGGAAAGTATCCTAAAAATACGAAAGCGTAATAAATAATGAGGCAGAAATCTAAATAAGGCAAGAACTTACATCCCAGCACTCAGGAGCTTTTCTTACAAAACCTTCTGCAACAAACATAAATTGTTAATTGGCTACACCCTTCACCATGAACAATTTTAAGCATTAAACACACACACACACACACCTGTTTTTCTGTACTTCTACCTAAAATTCCACTGATATAAAACTAAATTTACAGAATTTCTGGGAAGCTAAGAATAGTGAGGTACTTCTGGATGATTACAGCAGAGGGAAGAGGCTGATAACAAACCCTAAAACAGTTGAAGAACAATAATATGTGAAGGTAGAAAAAAAAGGTCTTTGAAAAAGTACATTTTTAGAAATCAGGTTGGGGGGCCGGGGGACAGAACTGGAGGAGAAGGAAAGACATCCATAGTTGAACAGGTTACAAAATAAGCTCCTGTATCTTGCTCTCAAAGCTAGTGACCTCCATATCTGTGCCCAACATAAGAATCAAAAAGCATAGTTCTCAGGTGCCCCTGGGTTAAGTGCCTGACTTTGGCTCAGGTTATGATCTCATGGTTCATGAGTTCCAGCCCTGCACTGGGCTCTGTGGTGACAGTGTGGAGCCTGCTTGGGATATTCTCTCCTTTTCTCTGCAACTTCCCCACTTGTACTCGCTCGCGTGCGCGCTCTCTCTCTCTCAAAATAAGTAAAATTTTTAAACGGGGGGGAGGGCACCTAGGTGGCTCAGTCAGTTAGGCACCCGACTCTTAGTTTCAGCTCAGGTCATGACCTCACAATTCACGAGTTTGAGCCCCACATCAAGTTCTGTGCTGTCAGGTGGAGCCTGCTTGGGATCCTCTACCCCTACCCATGCCCCTCCCCTGCTCACTCGCTCGCTCTCAAATATAACATTTAAAAAAATAAAAATAAAATTTCAAAACATAGGAAACAAAGTTCTCTGAACTGGGACTTCTACATGGGATACCAGAGGAACCGAATGGGTGAGATTAAAAATGACAGTGCCCCAAGCCTCTTACGGCTGCCAGGAGTAGTGCTAAGCCCTACAATCACATAATAAACCACTTCATCATGATAGAGGAATCTCCAAACAACCACACTGTCAAAAATCAAGAACTCCTATAAGCAATGTCTGCATTCAATTCTGAGGAATAGGGCTTTCCACCTGGGTTGGACAACGATACTCCAGCTGCCAGAGGAAATCTAGGCCACAGGTAGCCAACTGGCAAAGTGATGCTCTTTGTGATTTGTATTTGTGTTTTTCAAATGAGGTGGCTGTCAATGTGTAAATTTCAGGAAATTTCACCATACTCCCTATGATTTTCTAGCATGTCACAGGAAACCAGAAGATTTCAAAACATGGGGCTTGAATTTACACATATTCAATTAGCTGAGTAAGCAGACAGTGGCTGCTGCAGTAGAAGGAGCCTATATGCCAGCTGTTATGTTCTGATCCCACTTGACATATACATTATTTGCCTACCCCTGGAAGACATTTGTTTTCACAATCTCTGATCCTACCCTCTTTAGTAAATATAAGCATACATAAAATTCAACAAAAATTTGAAAACCTCTGAAAGGCACAAAGAACAACACAAATAGGGGAAAAAAATCTACCTCACTGCTAAATAACCCAATTACGGTAGGAAACATAAGAAAATTTTAAAATAAATGCAAGTGTCCTCCAAGACATTCAAGAAAAGGCTACATGCATTAAAAACAATGTGCTGCCAGCAAAGGAAACATCCCACAAAACTAATAGGCAACCAACGGAATGGGAAAAGATGGTTGCAAATGACATATCAGATAAAGGGTTAATATCCAAAATCTATAAGGAACTCACCAAACTCCACACCCGAAAAACAAACAATCCAGTGAAGAAATGGGCAGAAGATATGAACAGACACTTCTCCAAAGAGGACATCCAGATGGCCAACAGACACATGGAACGATGCTCAGCATCCCTCCTCATCAGGGAAATACAAATCAAAACCACACTGAGATACCACCTCACGCCAGTCAGAGTGGCTAAAATGAGCAAATCAGAGAACTCTAGATGCTGGCGAGGATGTGGAGAAACGGGCACCCTCCTG